TATATATACACCTAAACTATATATATGTCTAAACTATATACATACCTAATATATATATCTGTGTGTGTGTGTGTGTGTGTGTGTGTGTGTGTACATACACATATACAGTTGATCTTGAACAATGCAGGTGGAGAGTAGGTTCGAGACAGATGAAAATCTACACACAACTTAAGTTGGCCCTTTGCATATATGGATTCCCAATAGCAAATTAAAAATACTATTTTCCATTCACAGTTGGGAATCTACAGATTTGAAACTCAGCGATACAGAGGGATAACTGTATATTTATTGAAAAAATATACAGTCAGTGGACCCATGCAGTTCGAACCCATGTTGTTCAAAATCTGGAATCCCTGTGGGTCTATTCTATCATCTATTTGTCTCACAGTTTTTGACCTTGTCCTTGGCGTGCCTGGTAATTTTATCTTATTTTTTAAATGCAAGACATTTGCTTACGACACTCTATATTATCGTTCGTTCAGAGTGCTGGGTCTCTTTTTCTGCTGCTAAGGAGAGGGCTGGCTGACCACATCAATCCAATTAGAGATCAAATTAACTCCTGGCTGGACTATAGTGCTTTAGAAAGGCCCTCACTCCTAGGTCTTAGCCTTACAGACATATTGAGAATATGTGTTCACCATAGATCCTCTCCTCAGCACCTTCTAACCCCCTCTAGCTCATTAATCTCTTATGGAAGGAGCATCACAATACTGCTGAGAATTTTCTCTGTTTTTTTTTTTTACAAAACGTGTGTATGATTTCAGCCTCTTAGCTTCCTAATTCAGCAAATGTATTGAGTAAAAACCCAACAGAATTTTGAATCATTTGTCTCCTTCTCTCTTCTATCTGATATCTTACCCTGCTCCGTGCTCTAATTTTTGTCTCTTTAGACTCAGCAGGTCTGTCAAAAATTTGTGCTGGTTTCTTGTCATGATACTAGAAACTTTTTGCCCAGACCCTTTGCCCAAATTCTCAATTTCTTGACAATATCCAGAATTAGTAAGTAACCTCAGGGGGGAAAAAACTGCAAATGGTTGCTTCTTCTTTCAAAATTTTGCCTTTCCCAGGATTTCGGCTTTTAAATTCCTACTCATCTAAGCAACCCTCTGATGCCTTTAAACAAATCTTTTAAAACTTTATTTAATTTTTCTAGTTATTCTCAGTGGGAACATAGGTCTGCCATAAGCTACTCCATTTTAGCTGGAAATTTAAGTCTTATTTTCTTTACTTATTTTAATTCCTCAGTCTTTTGGTTTCCAATTCCAGTTCTGTTCCCCTGTATTTAACATCAATCTCTGCCCTGTTCTTTAAATTTTTGCAAGTTTAACTTAAAGGAGACATTACTCATGCATACTTTTAGATGTACTTCAGTTCCATTCTTTGATGTCTATAAGCAGTCAGACATACCAATTCAGGAACACAAGTAAGATTGGCTTTGACAGATAGTACTGTCTCCACGTTGCTAGCCATTTTAATACGGAATTCTACTTCTAGGCTCTGAATCATCTCAATGTGTTTTTTCTTTAGTACTTTATGAATGCATAAGAAATTATATTATAATCTATCATTATTCTATTTCTGCCCTTAATATGAAAGGTAAAACTATGCTTTATATTTCTTTTACATGTGAAATAATTCCAAGAATGCTAAACTTATGAGTTACTGAATAAATAATTATCAACTGACTGAGAAATACATTGTTGGTTTAGATGTAATATCTAACATACTAAATTATATTTACCCGCCATAATCTTCATTGATCCCAGCAAATTGTATTGGGTTGCAGTATACAAAAATTATAAACACGACCAGCACAAGTGTTATCGAAGATGTAACCATTATAAATGTCAGAAGGCCTTTGCAATATATTTGTAACTTAGAAGCAATGATACCTCCCAGAAGCTGGCCAAGTGCTCCTCCTGGAATTAAAACAAGTCCTAAAAAAAAGGAAGAAGAGAAAACATAGTTAAAAATAATTAGCTAAAGACAGCACAGAAAATTCATACATTGATGCAATCCCCTCGGCTCTAAACATACAGCAAACATAGATTTAAATAAAAAGACACAGAGAAAACTTAAAAGCATGATAAACATCTCAACGAACCTGACTTTAAGAGAAATACAAATTTATGAGTGGGGCTGAAGCCATAGGTGTAGTGGACTGTAGGGCAGTGCTGGTGAAGTTTTGCTCCTATGTATACTTAATCCATGCAAAATAGAAGATAAGAGCTGTCTTATTGAGAGTTATAATTGGATAGCTGCCTGGATTTATGGTTTACATCAGGAAGCATGCCCATTGTGACAAGAGTTCACAGGGATTCGTTACCAAGAATTAAACCAATCCATTCATTGCCTCTGTGAATGCATGCGCAATATCAACAATCTAACAACAAAGTGGGACTCCAGAATAGCCATTATGAGGTATAGTTTTCTTTTCAATGAAGCATAAGGCATTAGAAAGAGGTAAGCACAAGATGGTGGAAAAGGAGTTGGAAGAGAAGAAATATAGTTAGAAAATAATCAGATGAAGATAGCACAGTACATTTGTACATTGATGTGATCTCTTCAGTACCAAACATATAGAAATGGTAAATTTAAATGGGAAAAGAGCAAGAGAAATATAAGGTAGAAACATACAAAAAATCCCATTAACAACAGATTAAATGTATATCATAGAGTTGTCTGACAAAGACTTGTAAATAATTTTAGAATGCTCAAAAAGATTAATGACAGTGTAACTTCCATAAAAATGAAGAAGAAATAAAATTTAAAAAGAAAGGAATGAAAAATTAAGAGCAGATGGGTAAAAAAGAGCAAATAAAAAAACCTGGATATTTGAAAATACAATTTTTTAAATAAAAACTCAAATCTTAGACTACAGACTGAAAAGCAAAATAACGAATTGGAAGAAAAGATTTTATTATTCATCCAGTATGTAATTTTTAAAAAAGAGTGAAGGAAGAATAACTAAAATAAGCAGTTAAAAGACAATGAGTACAGTGGAAAAATATAATATACACTACCTCAGCTGGATGATCAAGGTCAAATTCAAAAGGAGTAAGCTATGTTGACAGTATGTGCCCCTGATATGATATGATGAAAATGGCACATTACCTCTGTGGTCTTCTTTCTGAAACCCATAACTCCTGTCTAAGCATGGGAAAAATATCAGACAATTCACAATTGAGGAACATTCTAAAAAATACATGACAAGTATTTCTCAAAACTGTCAAATCTTAAAAAACAAGAGAAGACTGAGAAGCTGTCATACTCAAGAGGAGCTTAGGGAGACATGAGAACTAAATATAATGTGGTATCCTGAATGAGGTCCTAGAAGAGAAAAAAAGGACATTATGTAAAAGCTAAGGAAATCTAAATAAAATTGTCTTTAGCTAGTAATAATGTATTGTTATTGGTTCACTAATTGTAACAAATCTGCCATGCTGACATAAGAAAAGAGAAACTAGGTACTTAGTATATGAAAATCCTGTAAGATCTTCAATTTTTTTTCTGTAAATCTAAAACTATTCAAAAAATAAAGTTTTTTTTTAAAAGACAGTGAGAATAGGATAAGAAGCTCCATGAAATGTTTTATAGCTGTCATGAGAAATACAATGAAAGATATACCAGAGAAACAATATTTAAAAATTGAGGCGAGAATGAGAAGTTTCCCTAATTGAAGAAATATTAGTCCTAGGAATAAAATTCCAACTAGTGAGGAATAAAAAATAAATAATAGAATCCATCATATGCTAGGAAAATTCATAACATCAATATTGTTATGTTAATAACCTAAAGACCAAACACATAACGTGCATGCATGCACACTCGCAAAGAGTGGGTCTAGTGAACTGTCAATGGGCACTTAAAATCTCCTAAACTAATTAAAGGACATAAAATAAATAAAGAATGAGTCCATTGAGAGAAGATAGGATAGTAGGAAGAAAAAGAAGGAAAATAGAGAGTAATAAACAAAAATAATTAACTATGTTTTCTCTTCCTCCTTTTTTTTAGGACTTGTTTTAATTCCAGGAGGAGCACTTTACTTAAATATATCAGAATTCACAATAATACTAAATAAATAAAAGTTAATTATTAAAAAGACATTATCAAATTGGATATTTTTAAAAAGAAAAGTTTGAAAATAAAGTAGTGAAAAAATACATATCATGAAAATAGATCATGACATTGTTTAAATAAATACATTATGTAAAAACTGCCCATATTTCAAGGAAATTAAAAATCCATAAACAAAGTAATATTTTAACTCAGCTTTCTCAAAACAGAGACTTAGCTTAAAACGCTATTAAAGATATGGAAAATATTAATCAATTCGAATAATAGGTTATTTAAAAAGAGAAACAAAGCCTATATTTAGCAACTAAAAGTCTCTTTGTAATTTATGGCTTAAATAAAAATATGATAATGAGAATTAAAAATACTTAGAACTGAACAATAATGAAAATTATATCTAAATGCATGAGATGCTACTAAAGAAAATCTGTAACTAATGATATCTTGAGGTTCTTAGAATTAAAAGAGTTAATATTTAAGTGCTTAGAACAGTGTCCAGTCACAGAGTAAACATGAGTGTTTGTTAAATGGTAGACATTTTCAGACCAATTCATTTATTAGAAAGCAAAAAAGTACAAACAGAGTAAGGGACAATATTTATCAAGAAAATTGTGGGAATTGGAATTGAATCGGGAGACCTCAGAGGATGAACAGTGAACCTACAGGTAAGGAAGTCAAGAAGAAGCAAATCATATTTTACCCCAGAATCACAGAAATTAAGGGCAGTACATACCAATGAAAACAAGGGTGTTAAAAACAGGAGGATTGGATGGAAATCTACATAAAATGTTTTATCCTCGAAATTCCTATGCCCACATACATGACATATGACTAAACAAGAAGACTCTAGATTTATTCAGTTTGAACTCAACAACTATAGATTTGGGGAAACCAAGCACATCTGTAAGCAGAAAACTGAGAACTCAACTCAGGTAAGAAAATATTGGCTGTCAGGCTTATTGCCCTAGGCAATAAGAAAATACTGGATACTGGGAGTCCAACAAATAAATAGCTGAGTCCTTGAAAGACCACCCTCAATGGAAACAAAACAGTTGAAATTTAACTGCAATGCACAGAATTTCCAATTAACTTTTATGTAAATATTTTACTGGTGTATAGAAAAGTACACAAATCACAACTGTACTTATTGATGAATTTTCAAAGTGAATATACCTATGTAGCCACTACTCGGGTCAAAAATCAAACATTACCAAAAGACCAAATGCTCTTTCATGCACTTACAGAATTTTATAAAATATGGAACTTAAAGTATGCATACATTATTGCCTCTTTTGTTTGACATGATGTTTGAAAAATCCACCTATGTTTTCATATATAACAATAGATCATGTCATCTCATTGCTGGATAGCAATCTATATGCATACACCACAACTAATTTGTTCACTGTGATGTGAATTGTGCTGCTACTTTAAAAGTTCATGTACATGTCCTTTTGTAAAAATTTGCATTTCTCTTGGGCATATTCTTAAGAGAGGAACTTATGTTGGGTATATGACTAGGAGTGGAATTCTTGGGTCAGAAGATTTGTATATATTCAGATTTTTATGTCGCTGCCAAAGAGATTTATAAAATGGTAACCTAAGTTACAATCTCACCAGTAGTAGAAGAAGTGCCAATATCTCCACATCTATGCCAACATCTATCTCTCTTTTCCATTTTAGCCATTTTGCATTGTGGCATTTCCCTGAAAACTACTGAAGTCATGCGTACATTTTCATATGAATATTGGCCAATTAATATCATGTTTTATATAATGTCTATTTAAGCTTTTGTCCATTTTTATTGGATTATCTGCCTTTTTATTGTTGTCAAATATTTTTGCATATTTGGACACAAATCTTTGTAGAATATTTCTACAGAAAAGACTGTTTTGCTTGCATTTTCACTCTTTATGCCAACATTTGATGAACTGAAATTCTTAATTCTAATGTAATACCACTTATTTTTTTCTTTATGGTTATGTAATGTATGTCCTATTTAAGAAATCTTTGTCTTCTCTAAAGCCATGTATATCTTTTCCTGTGCCTTATTCTAAAAAGCTTTACTGCTTTATAATTCACATTTAGAACTGTAATCCATCTAGAATTTGTATTTGTGTATGTAACGAAGTAGAGATCAAGATTTATCCTTTTTCACAAGAATATCTAATTGGCCCAATATCACTAATATCTAATTAACTCAACTTTTTGTTTTATATATTTTAAAGCTATGTTGTTGAGGGCATACACACGTATAATTATATTATCTACCTCTTTGACTCCTCTGACCTTATAAATTATCTCTCTTTATACTAAGTAATGCCTCTTGCTTTGAAGAATACTATATTTAAAATTACTATGGTAATACCATCTTTGTTTTGGTTAGTACTCATATAATACAACTTTCTCTGTCCTTTTACTTTCAACATTTTTGTTTCCTCATATTTAAGGAGTGTTTCTTATAAATAACATAGTAGATTCCTCTCCCCAATATGACAAAATCATATATGTATATGTATATATATACACACACACATATATACATATTTATATATATTTTATATATATATATATTTTTTTTACTACTCTATTTATTAGGCAAAGCTTCTCCATAATCCTATGATGCCATATATCCTGCAAGCAGAAGCACTGACTACTCTTTGTTCTCTCTTTTCAAGGATCTTTGTATAGTGAACACACAGCCTTGATTAATAGAGATAATGTCTTCCTCGGGAGTGAGGACGTTTGTTTATGGTTTTGGAAGATGGAGATAGTTTCCCCTGTGGAATTAGAAGAAGATATTGCCTACTGTCAAGTATTATAAAAATAACATCTTCCTCTGGATCAAAAGGCAAACATAATTACTATCTATTATAAAAGTTCTGGGTTCCCTAAGCTCAGGGAATGTAATGTAATCCACTCCTGTAAAGCAACCAATTATGTGTGCAGGTGTCACCAACTCTCCTTCACATTATCCTGTAGGAACTGAGCCTTGAAAAACTTGCACACGCGTACATGTGTGCACGCGCGCGCGCACACACACACACACACACACACACACAGAATGCTCTAGCTACTGCTATTGTGAGTCTAAAACTTTCCTTCATCTCTGACCAATGCGTTTTATGTCTTCTGTTAGCATCCATGAAACTATGGTAGACCAACTTGTTAGCTTTCAAACACAGTAAAATTCAAACTCTTCACAGATCTTAGCACTTTTGGTGACATGGCTGGGATGCTGACAGAGACATGGCTTCATGTAAGATGAAGAATGATAGACCAATTAATGGGATCTGACAGAAGTACTAGAAATCAGTAGTGAACATGCTGATTATTGCCCATTAATAATGAAGAATTGGAGAGGTGTCTGCAGGCTGAAGTAGATTTCAAGACAAGTACCACAGAATGTATCATGGTTGTTATGAACTATTCTCTAGGCAAAGGGACTTCCTCACAAATCTGACCATCAGCCTCAGATTTGTCCCACTGTAACAGCTATTACTAAGAAACATCCTGGTTGAATAGAGGATTCCTCCTGATTTCAGACAATAGTGACAGTGATGTGCGACTACACTGAGCATGAAAGGAGAGAAAGATACAATGACTATGGACAGAAACAAGTGAATAATTAGAAGTTTAGCTGATTTATTTGGTTAATGAGAGGATAGAGTGCATAGTTCCCCATTAAGGTGAAATGGTAATAGCTGGGCGGTCTGAGGGCTGTTAACAAAATGTGTTCCACAGACTAATGGTACTTGACATGCTGTCTACATTGCCAAAGCCTTCTTTTGTATCCTATTACTTCCTCCTGCAGTCTATCATGTCAACCTTGAATCCACTCTAAGACAAAAGTAAGAAATCTCAGAGTTGTTTTGCAGTGTGCCTTGACTGCTATAAGATAGCCGCGACCTTCTGGGGAAATTTTCCCTAAGACAGACATATTCCTGTGTGAAACTACAGATGAGACATTAAATAGAATTTTGCCATTATTCCCTCAGAATAGGAGGTAAAATGACCTTGTGGGTGAGGTTCTGGACAATTTCAATGAAGTTTTGTTGTGGCTTCAATATACTAATGCTGTAACTCTAATTTCGAAATATAACTGGTAATTACATTTTGCAAGCTTGCACTGTATGTGCTCTTAAACTCCAAAAGGGGTAGTGGAACATTTAAATTGCTCCAAGACTGTCTCCCTGTATCCTCTTGTGTGGCCCAACAGAAATAACACAGAATCTCAGGAAGAGAAAGGAAAGTCCTAGCTTTTGAGTATGGACTAAAAGGAAGCAGGAGTAGTAAAAGATGCAATATCTTAATTCAATAGATCTATGTCCAATGAAAAAAGTTATGAGAGGCTTGAGATTTACAGTAGATTAACCAACTGAATTCAGTTGTTGCTCCCATAACCCCAATGTTCTTGACATTGTGATGTAACAAAATTTATGGTGCAGACTGATGTACTTGAAATTCTGTCTTGGATATTACCAAAGCCACTTTTGTATTCCATTAGCACCCAAAGATAAAGGTCAATTCTCATTCATGCTGCAAGGTCACAAATATACATTTGCAGTACTCCTTCCAGGGTACCTAAACTCCTCTGCCATTTACTACAATGGGGGAGGTCAGGATTTATTGTAATCACCACTACCCTCTGATTCCCAGAGCTTGCACTGATACAAGATATTCGGCTGGCTGGAGGGTCAGAAGCCTCAGACTCAATGGCTCTGACTTTGGTGTTATTACACTTTTATCAGCAAGGGTGACTCATAATGCTCAACAAAACTTAGAATACTGTTCATGAAGTTTGGGAGTCACTATGCAAACAGATTCGCAATGTTTGACCTCTCTGGCAGTTAAGAAAAAATAGTTGTCTCTCTTCCTCTCTACCAAAAGGCAGCCTAACATCACTTTGGACTCAAGTATTGGAGACAGTAGATGGCTCTTTTGGACATTCTACTTGGTCTTTTATATCAGCTAACCCACCGTGAGTGTAACCCACAGACTTACATTGGAAGCTAATCAGCAAGCTGTGGCAAACTCCCTATTTTGAGGTCATGTGATTTATAACAAACCTAATGACTCCTTTGAGCTACAATTCTCCATAATAGACAATTTTATGTGCTGGAGCCTCTGGAAAAGGGAGGCACCCTCCCCTTAAAGGTGTCCCTTGGGGTGTAGGACTCATTGACTCCCTGAAACAGTTACTTTTGGAGAACAACTTCAAATAGTTTATTACTGGCCTCTCGTCAAAACTGAAAGCTCGATCCACAGAGGTTTTGTGACTGTGGATGGATATTCTCATTTTGGGATGGACCAACTCAGACTCACAACTAACTATTTGACAAGCCTTATTTGTCACTGAAAACAGTATAACTGAGCCACAGGGGTGATCATAAGAGATCTTCAAGTGTTTAAAGGAATACCACCAGTAGATTCTATGGCCTCAGAAGACTGGAAATCTCTCTTAAATGAAGTTAGTCTTGGTCACTCAGGGGAACTTTTCAGAGATATTACTGACACATTATTTACATATACCCTGAAAGCAGTTATCTCTACAGTAAGAGTAATCCAATTAAGAAAAGATGGTACAAAGTTTGTCTCTGATTTTAGTTGAAATAATCAATGACACCACTTCATTCCTGGAAAGCGTGATATTGATCAGCATTGTTATGGATGATAGAATTGCCTAAAACTTCATCCTTGCAGGCAGGCCAAGGTAGAATATATGCAATTACTAACATTCTGTTATACCTGGATTAATACCTCAGGCTAAGTGGAAATAACAATACAGAAATTTAAAGAGAAAGACATTTTGCTTTCTAAAGCAGACCCTGAGGGCCAAGGGATTTGTTTAGCTGGCTGGGTCCAGGACCTTGCCAGCATGGTTGAGGCCAGTACTGTAGGTGGCCTTATCCTATTGCTTGGAGTCCTGTTGATATTAGCCTTAATTAAATACTGTATGAAACAAATTGAATGGATTTAGTCCCAATCTCTATTCATTAGATTAAGCATAATGGCAAACAACATGGTGTACTCATGGAAAAAAATGTCTATTATAGCCCTCAAAACTGTCATGTTTTTGGCTTTTGGACTATTTGCAGTCTGATAATGGTGAGCCCTCTATCACAAAATCCATTCAATAATAGGTTGATAGTCAATGTATTTCACACACCTTAACATTTGTTTTTTACTTAGTTCACATGTTTATGTTCCTTCTTTCTTTTAATTCTTGTTTCATTATTACTAATCAAAATTTTCAAATCAATATGCTCTTTTACTATTCTTTTTATTATTCTTTTACTAGTTACCCTAAAAGTCACACCATGCAGCTATGATATTTTACAGCATAAAATAAATGATTACATTTACCACTTTCTCATTAATGTTAGAACCTGAAAACATTTAATTCCATTTGTAACCTCTTTTGGAGAGCCAATTCTCAATGTCTAGTAAAACTGAAGATATATACAATAGCAATTCTTCTTCAATGTCTAAACCTATGTCAACTTTTACAAATGTGTGTAAGGAGACATGTGCAAGCTTATCTTACTATATTGTTTGGAAGAGAGAAAAAGTAGAGGCAACTTCATGTCCATTAATGTAATGGAGAAATAAATGGTATATTCATAAAACAAAATTCCATGGCAGAGTTAAAATGCATAGATAGATATCAACATGAATCTGATTAACATAATTTCAAAGGAAAGTAATAGAAGAGTATGTACAAAATGACGCATGAATTTTAGAAACATTGTATATAGATAGGCACATAAGCAATAAAAATATGCAAATGTGTGGAAAGAATGCACTCTAACTTTAGAAGAGTGGTTACCTATGGAGAGAGAGGAAGAGAAATGGGATGAGAGGGGTTCAAAGTCTTACAAGGTTTTACATGTTAAAAATTATTGATGCAATGATAGCAAAGTGCTCATTTTTAAAACGTGAGCAAGTGGTAGTTAGGTATTTAAAATCTGAGCAAACATTACTACTCCCACTTTTTGATTTTTTGAAATATTTCATAAATACATATAAGAAAGCTTTACATAAAATTTCAAAATGAGTACACTGAGCAGAAGAGTTACCTGAAAGTGTAGCTGCCTTTCTGGGTGTTACCATAAACTGATTCTCTATATATATAGGCAAAAATGCAGAAGCTCCTATTATAAGTAAAGATTCTGAAGCTCTGGCCAGAGCTAGAGACACAAACATTGGAGACTTTATCAGAATCTGAAATAGAAATAAGTTACACATGAATTATTTTATTTTACTGAGTAAAGAGAAATAGATGTACCCATTTATATGGTAATGACCAATCCACAAAAATTTTACCTTTCCCAACGTAAACTGAAAGTATGTATATATAAAAATCCAAATAGAAATTTACTATTGACCAACATATACATACCATGAAAGACATGCAGTGTTTGAACAATTTTAATTTGTAATTTAACCTCTATACCACCTTTAATTTTTATTTGTGAGTCTGGCAATTTGCCAGAAAGATTAAGGAAAAATAGATGTCATTAACCAGGCATGTAGAATTTCCCTTAACTTTTTTTATATGTTATTTTCTTAGCAAATTATATTATTTAACATGGAAAAATAATCAAAGAAATTTTAAGCAAAACTAAAGGTAGATCACTAGAATTGCAGTCCAGATTCTATATTACTCTACTACTAGGAATTCCACATACATGAAGAGTGAAGTCATTTAAATTCTGCAATTTAATAAATTTTTTTAACATTCAGAAACCTTCCTAGGACATTTAGTGATGGTTGACTCTTACCTATTTTACTATTACACAATACAGAGTAATTAACATGACAGTAAATTACATTAAAATATTAACTTGCAAACTAATTTCTGTATTTCCTGGACATGCATATATATTAGAAAATATTTACTGGCGTTTTATGTATGTATACTTTTTAATTAACTTAAGTTTTTTTCTACCCCTAAACACTGTTTTTAAAATCTAATCATATTCTGCATATTCATCTAATTTATCTTCTGAGTGCTATTTAACTTCACACAGTGTAATTCCATGATATTTATCCACTCCCACAGGACTAAATGCTTATGCTGACTTCAACTACCTACTACTGTCAGAAACAAGGCTATAATAACATTCCTGTGCATATACACTTAAGGTCCTAGGATAGAGTGTCTTTGGAAGAATATATCTCAGAAAGCGATTTCTAGGGCATTGTAATTTGATATACTTCATTCCAGCATCTCCGGAATTTTTTTCTCCAAAATGTATCAGTTTACACTCTCACCATAATATAGGAGAGTTCCATTTTCTTCATGTAGCAGCTTATACTTTCTAAAATTCATCAGAGCAATATTTCCCCCATCAAGAGGCATTGAACCTGGAAAGGTCTTTATGACTGCCTCAAAAAAGTCATGAGCCACTTAACAGTGGGAATATATTCTGAATGCATCGTTAAGCAATTTGGTCATTGTGCGAACATCTTAGAGTACACAAACGAATCTCAGTGGTATAGCCTACTACACAGCTAGACTATAAGGTAGAGCCTATTACTTTTAGGCTACAAGCCTGTACAGCATGTTACTGAACAAAACAATACAAGATTAAATCAAGCACAAGAGAAAATGATGCAATCAAGAGACAAGGTAAACATGAGACGCATGAGGTTGCCGCTGGCATAACACAGCATACTGTTTTACAGCAAACATTTTTTATAAATAGAAAGAGCACACTTTAAAATAATAGTAAAAAGTATAGTATAGTAAATACAAATATTAGTAACAGTTGTTTATTATCATCACCAAGTACTATGTACTGTACATAATTTTACGTGCTATATTTTTATATGACTGGCAACCCAGTAGGTTTGTTTCCACCAGCATCACCACAAACACATGAGAAATGTGGTATGCTGCAACATTATGATGGCTACATTATCACTAGGTGATAGGAATTTTCCAGCTCCTTTATAATCTTATGGGATGAAACCACCATCATATATGTGGTCTGTCTTTGATTGAAACACCTTTATATAGCACATGACTATAATGGTGCATGACTTTAGAGGTCAAGTCATAAAAGGACAACATTACTTCTGCTAGGAATTCTCATTCTCTCAGAACTGTGAATTTGTTACTCAGTTACCATGTTGTGAGAAAGCCCAGACCAGATGGAGAGGCCATCTGAGGGTGTTGTAGAAAACAGTATCATAAAAAGATATGAAACACTGTCATTTGCGACAACATGGATGGACCTCGAGATAATCATACTAAGTGCAATAAGCCAGACAGAAAAAGTTGAAAACCACATGACATCACTTAAATGTGGGCTATAAACCTAAAAGCAACAAACGAACAGGACAGAGACTCATGGACATGGACGATAGACGAGTTACCAGAGGGTTGCGGGGAGAGGGAAGAAGAAAGGCAAATGTGGTAAAAGGGGTCAAATATGTGGTGACATTAAAGAATTAAAAAATAAAAGAATAAAATAAACAAAAGCCAACATTTGAGTAAAAAAGCCTTCAGATGATTCCATCTCCCAGACTTAGATCACACCAGCTGATCATAAGCAGAGCTGAGAGGAGCAAGCCCTGCCCAAATTGCAGACTCATGATTAAAATAGATATTCTATTATTTTAAGCCATTAAGTTTTGGGGTAGTTTGTCATGTAACAATAGATGACTGGTACACCCAACATAATCTCAAATTCTTGATATTATTAGCTGGCTTTCAAAATTTCACCATGCTGACAGATTTTCCAAGAATTCTGTGTTTATTCTAAATACTAATTGCTTATTGGATTTAGATCTGTCACCCATCTTTAAACATTGTCTACAGTCTCCTTTAGAGAATAGAAATCTTGACTTGATGTAATCTAATCCATACTTTTTACTTCGTATTTTATGCTATTGTAGTCTTGTTTAAACTTTTCCTACCACTGTCACAAGATATTTCTTTCATTTTTAACATTAACTGTGTTTTTTTCTAATCACATTTTTATTAAACCTAGAAATTGCCTTTCTACAGGTTATGAAGTACATAGCCAAACTCATTTCACCATATAGAGAACCAAATTTGTCATCACATCTACTTGAACAATTATCCATGCAGTTCCTCTTCTATTTTATAGCAAATTCTTATATGTATTAATCTGTTGCTGAGTTCTCTCTTCTGATCCACTGGTCTATTTATCTGTACTGAGGAAATGTTACACTGTTTTTACTATTATGGCTTGTACCCTATCTTAACATGTACTAAGACCAATGTTCTTTGTTTTCCTTTTGCATGCCCTTATTCTGCCATAATAATTTTAGAATCAATTTGCCATTTACTAAAAAAAATAATAAAATTCTTTCCATAGTTGTGATTATATTGAATTGAAATTACAGATTATTGAGAGAGAAATCACATATGAAAGTTGTCATTTCATCCATTAAGGTGGAATATCTTTCAACTTGTCCCAGTCTTCTCTAACATTGTTACATAGTTTTAAATTTTTTCATGAAGTTCTTGAGCAGCTCTGTTAAAATAGTTTCTGAATTACTTAGTTTTGTGATTCTTTTTACTTTATTATTTAATTTTAAAAGTAGATAACTCATTTTAAATATTCTTATTTGAATATTTCATTTTGTACAATTTAAAATTTTTATATTTCCCTTATGTTGTACATTCAGATTGTGTTCCATTAATGGAGTATAACTCTTTTCTAGTTCACAAATGTCAATTTACTCATAGTAATGATTGAGAATTGAATACTAAATACAGTTGTAGAATATTTCATGATTCTATATGGCAGTCTTATCAGTTATAACAGGCAGAACAAGGAACAGAAAATCTAGTTTTTGTTTTGTCTCATCACAATCTCTACATCTCATTTTTAGAATGTACTATATAATAGTTGACAGAGCAATGCCATTGGAGTCACGTACATAAGATAATTTTATATTCTTAATCTCAATTTGGCCGTGTGTGTGTGTGTGTGTGTGTGTGTGTGTGTGTGTGTGTCCAAACATGTCTTTGGAAAAGTTCCTCATTCACTTTAAATTATTGGTTCACCATCTGTAAAACAGAAATGATAAATATCTGTATCTCTGGATTACAGGATTTTGAGAATTGAATACATGTAATAAATTAATACAATCCCTGGCACATAGAAGGTATCCAGTAAAGATTACACATTATTTTCATAATTTATAAAACAAGAGGGTCACACTAGATTACCAGATTTGTTGTTTGCAAACTTTAGTGTGCATGAATCATTTGGAGGGTATAAAACACAGACTGATAGGTCCTACTTCCAGAGTTTCTGATTCAGTAGGTCTGCAGTAGGATGCAAGAATTTGCATTTCTAACAAATTCCCCAATGACGATATTGACCTAGATACCATACTGAGATCTGCTGCACTGGATAATTTTTGTGTGTAGGCTATCTAGGATTAAAATGAACAGACTCTTTAGTTAATCCAGTTGATGTGACTTATCATGTTACACAGGAAAGTAAGGAAGCCAAAAACACTTTCTCAGTGCTAAACAATTCATAAAGAAACAGAACATCATTCAGTAGAAGATGGCAGCTTATCTCGTCTGCTTAATAATGAGTTCCATTGCTTTGTCTTGATTCCTTCAATGGCCCAAAATATTCAGCTTCTTCTGTCAGCTTATTGTGTCTTTGTCTACTTTTATTATAGCTTCTGACTATTCTCTCTCCATTTGCTTCTCTGTCTCAATGGTCTTTCCTCATTTATTTGCTCTACATCAATTTATCAAAGCTATGTTGTTTGAGTTCCCCTCTCTTTCTCTTATACTCCCCCGAGAAAGAGAAATTGACTGAATTAGTCAGTTTATAGCAAGGTCTACCTATTTGACACTGTTCTCAAGATATGCTATTTATTAGGTGTTGGAAAAATCTAAAGATTGCTCTCTTGAGCACAAATGCTGACCCTAGACCTACTTTTGCCTAGAACATCATATAGAGCATGGCAACTACTGCACAAGGAAACACTTTTAGGCACTTTACTCAGATAGAAACTGTGAGCACAGCAAACACTCAGAATACAATAGAGTTCCTTCCAATAAAATGTCCATGTTTTCCTGTATTTTTTTTTAAATCCATTTCTTTTCTTAGATATAAATATGAGAGGAAAAGAATAAGGCCAGATATACAAATCAGGATCCAAGGTGTTTCATGTAGTGAACTCAGTCTTAATTCTGGTAGGCATCGATATACAAAGGG